GGAGGGAGGGGAAAAATGAGGACCTAATGTCGGGGGTTTAAATGGAGAGAAAATGTTTTGAGAAACGATGTACAAATGCGCATTACACAATTGATGTGTGTATGGATTGTGATAAGAGTTGTATGAGCCCCTAATAAAATGTTTTAAAAAAAAAGAAAAAAAGAAAAAAAAGAAAATCAAACATCTCACCCTGCCATGCTAGTGTTCACTCTATCTTGCCCCATCAAAGGTTTCCTTTTTTAAGAAGCTGGCCCTGGCTTGCCACCCACCATTGGCTGAAACCACACGGGTCTCCCAGTCCACAGCGGCTCGCCTGCTCAGAGCCCTGGGGCTGAGCCTCTTTAAACACAGGCCAAGCGTAAGTACTCAGCTGAATTCAAGCTGGGACTTCCAAACTCTACACTGCCCAGACAAAAAGACCACTGGCTCTCTCTTCCTCTGCCTCTTCCTGGCCAGCAGGTCCCATAAGCAATGACTGGTCCAACTGAGGCTCAGCCTCTGGCAATAAGCCTCTGCTGCGCAGCCTGCTTAGCATTATCCTTCTAGTAGCCCTAGGGAGGCTCTTTACCCAGGACCACCATTTAGCTTCCATCCAATTGCTTCCAAAAGACTCCTAAAAGGGTGCACAAAGGGGAGGAGGGGTGCATGGGAAGGAGGCAGAGGTGGTCTGCTTCCCTGGCAGCATGGAGAATGCTAACCATCTCCCACCTCAGCTGGTGATAAGGAGAAGGGCTCCTAAGACCCACGTGGGAGGGTCCTGAGTGGTACAAACAACCTGCTCAACAGCTAACCCAAAGGTTGGGTGTTCAAGTCCACTCAGAGGCACATTGGAAGAAAGCCTTAATAGTCCATTTCCAAAAAGACGGCCAACGACAACCCTGTGGAGCACAGTTCTGCTGACATCCATGGGGCACCATGAGCGGAAGGCATGCAACTCATAGGCCGAAAAAAACCCAGATAAGGCCACAGCACACGACACGATCGAGACATACTGCCAGCCACCACGGCTTCGATGAGTTAGGTTTCCAAAGCAGAGAAGCCGGGTCCTAAAGAAAGAAGAAGGAACTTGACCATCCCAGGAGCCACCCAGGAGACAAACCACATCCCTGTGATCACAGTGAGGGGTCAAGCAAGCCTCCAGGCCCTCTCGGTTCTGCAAACCTCCACAGAGCATCTCCCCCGGGCACTCCTTTTGAACACCAAACCCAAGCCACACTTGACTCCAATCGCCCCTGTGGGCTTCCGAGACTGGAAATGTTTCCAGGAGTAGAAAGTGTCATCTGCAGGGGCTGCTCGTGGTTTTGAACTGCCGACCTTGTAGCCCACTAGGCCACCAGGATTCCTACTGTAAACACAATTCATTTCATTTTCTTTTTTTTTCCTCCAAGTATTTAAATCATTTTATTGGGGGCTCGTACAACTCTTATTACAATCCATACATTCCATTATTACATCCTTTGTGTCAAGCACATGTGTACATTTGTTGCCAGCATCATTTTCAAAACAATTTCTTTCTACTTGAGCCCTTGGTAACTGCTTCTTTTTTTTTTTTAATTAGGGGCTCATATGACGCTGATCACAATCATTTCATTTGCAACCCAGCCCCCGTGCGTTCAGGATTCAAGCCCATGTTACAGATAGACTGAACGGCTCCCAAGCAGTGGCTGCAGCATCAATACTCCATTCCAAACTTCGGGAACTAGACGTGGTTGGCTCCACCCTTGGAAAGCCGTGTTGTCACCTGACGAGCAGGTGTTTTAATAAGCCCCCCGGAAGAGTCAAAGATACAAGGAACTCTGGGAGCTGGGTCTTGCTGAGTGGTGGTGCAGAGGGCAGTGGGGGAGGGGTGTGGCTGACTAGGCCTGCTTGCACCTAACCCAGTGCTGCTCTCTTCACTGAGGCTCCTTAACTCACTCTGTGCCACTTCCTGCTGCTTTCATGCCACCTTCCTTGGCCCACTGAAGAATCTCCTTCCTCCTGCTGACCTGAACGTCTTGTTTATTTACCCTGGGCCTGGGACAGGCCAGCACGAATGTGTACACACACCACATACATGCATACACGTGCAAAGAGCCATGCACAGACCCCGAGGTGTAGACACAAACAACACACATACACCACACAGCCAGGTACAGACCCCCAAGATGTAAACACAGATCACAGATCACACACACACACACACACACACACACACACACACACAGAGTCACCCATGGGAGTAACTTCTCTACACCAGTGGCCACGCACGAGAGGGGCCACACTCAGTGGCCGGGAGCACGCTGTGGCCCCATGGGGGCCACCAGGCAGGTGCTTCCACCACTCCCAGGTCCTCAGGGTTAAGAACCCCTGATGCCAAGGCTCACCAAGGGAGCTCCCACCGGAAGACGGACCCCAAGACGTAAGGCTTCCTGTGGAGGAGACAGGAGTCTGGGGACACCTCAGGCCTCAGAGAGGCACGGCAGGTCAGCCAGAGGCGCCTAGGTAGCAAGGCGGGGTCCTCGGGACACCCTTCCGCCTCGGGAATCAGTGGGAGCGCAGTTTACGGACCCACCCCACCAAATCGGAAGACTGCACCATCTGTTCAGCTACCCGGCCATCCGCTCCTGCCAGCGCCCCTCTGTCCCCCGACGGTCCCGAGCGGGTTCCGCACATCAGAGCCCCCATCCGGGCCCTCGACGCCCACCCGCAGCTCCACCACACACCTGCGGTCCCCGCCGGGCGCCAAGCCCCTGTTCTGCGGCGACTCCCAGCAAGTCCAGTTACAGAGGGGACCCGCGCGCCGGGTCTGGAGCCCCGCGGCCAGTGCCGGCATCTGCCCTGGCCCCGCCCCTCCGGAGGGCGGCCAGCCCGGGCGAGGCAGGGGGCGGAGCCGGCTCGCACGAGGGGCGGGGCTTGTCCCAGGGTGGGGCCTGGGGGCGGGGCTTGGGCCCGGGCGGCAC